GGCCCTGCTGGAAACCCACCTTCCCCCACCCCACCAGCCCTTCACTGCCTCAGGCTGCAGCTGGCCCTGGGCCCTCCTCCATGACCTCCCCTGGCCCAGCTCCAAGACTCCAGCTAGCACAGGCTCCACTCAGAGCAAGGCTCTGCCTGTGGCCCCTACTCCTTACTCATTTTGTGTCCCTGCTGCACACTGCCTTTTCTGCTGACAGGAACCCTTCAGAAAGCTCCCCAGCCCTGGACTCCAGCCCCCTGCATCTCACTACGGGCGGGGCAAGGACCTTCTCCTCAGCAGCCCTCGTATCTCTAGGCCTTCTCAATTGCCTGCGTCTCCCCACATGCCTGGGCTTCTCTTTACTAGATTCCATGCCAAGGCTCGAGGGAAGACTCTGGACCTCGCTACGCTGGTGTGACAGCCATGGTGTGCAACCCCAATCTGGACCCACGGAGCATCACGCCCTACCTTGCGGGTGGCCATACCTGCAGTAGCCGTCGCTGATCATGCCGAAGATGTGGATCTGTTCACACAGCTCCATGGCCAGAACCATAGTGAACCAGCCAGTGCTTAGGTAGGTGCCAGACTTCATCCTGCAAGGCACAAAGCAACAGAGCTGGAGGGCGGTTGCAGGGGAGGGGGCTGGCTCCATGAGGTTCCCCTGCCCCACAACAGCAGAGGCGCAGACTGCAGGAGGGGCCCCCGGCACTTGGAGACTTCCACAGAAGGAGCTGACAGTAGTGCCCAGTCCTGCACCGGCTCAGGGCATGGGCATTTGGAGCAGTCACTGCAGCAGGAAGCAGAGAAGAGAAAGCAGAGAAAGGGCACTGGCTCTTAGCCCAGGACAGCTGCTCTCTGCAGAGCATAAAAAGTCCCACCCAGCTGATTAGTACCAGTGGGGACCCAATCTCCTTGCCGATTCCCTCCTCCCCATGGGCTCTGTCCCAAGAGCACACAGCATCTTGCAGGAGCCGTCCCACCTGCTGGGATTGGGTGTTAACTGGGGAGCAGCTGATGGGGGCTCAGATAACACAGCACAGATAAAAGCTTGGAACTGGCTCTCCGGCTCCAGCAGAACCCGAACGAGACAAGGCTGGAAAGCACGCAGGAAGGGAGTTTAAAGCAACTGCCATCTGCAGTGGGGGTGAGAGCTGGGGAATGGATACTATACATACTGTATCAGCAGCCAGCTGAGGGGAACAAGGCCTTCACCCATAAGCCACTTGCTCATTTCCTCTGGAGAAGCTGTAGTGCAAAGTTCAAGGTCGTGCCCCTGTAAATAGTCTTTGCACTCAGGCTGGAGGAAACCAACTCAATACCAGGAGTAGGAGGACGCAGGCAGAAAAATACCAGCACCGGCAGGATGCATGAATGTCCTCAGACTCCATTTCCAGCTGGTCTCTGAGCATTTTTTGCTCCTTTAAGTGAGCAAAGTGCTGTTGTATGAGGCTGAACGGACAGCTCTGGAGACTATGACCCCATTTGTCCACAGCTCTAGTACAGGACAAGCTACAACAAGGCAAGCATCCTCAGGCTGCCCCACCGTCCAGCCCAGTCAGCCAGTGCTTGACTTCTCTCCTGAGACTGCCAACTGGACAGAGCCCAGTGGGAGACTAGGGGGCTCTCGGTGCCAAGTACAGAGCCTTGTGCACTGTGGCCGCCTCACTGCCAAGATCCGGAGAAACCCCTTTAAGCAGGAGGAAATGACCAGCGGTCTCTCCTGACCTGTGCTGGACATGAACTGACACCCCACGGCTGGAGAGAGCTCACAGACTCGTCACCACAGCAGAGTGGTGTGATGTGGAGGCCTGTGCAAGAGGCGGGGAGGGAGGGAGGCGCTTGCTCACCTGTTCTTGCCCGTCTCGTTCTGGAAGACCTCGTCGCAGTATGCCATCATCTTCTCGGTCAGCGTGTAGATCTCCAGGCTGGGATACATCTGCTTCACCTTCAGGAGGCTCCTGTAAGTCCTCCCCACCTTCTCCCTGCCCATCACCTTGGCAGGCCCCCAGACGATGTAGAGGGTCTCCAAAGACTGCTCAAAGAAGTACGAGTGGTTCCTCACAAGCAAGGGGATGCTGGTGTGCGAGACGACTCGGATGGTGCTCCTTGTCCCCACGTCCTCCTCATAGCCAGTGGTGGGCGCCTGGTTCATGCGCAGCACACACTCCCTCTGGTCAATCTCCTTCCCCAGCCGTGACCCCAGCATCTGGCCTGAGCTGGATACGATAGCGCACCGGTGGCATGGGGCTCGGACAAGTGGCTGCAGCAAGACCAGTCGTTAGCAATGGCCAGAGACCAAGAAAGGGAGTGGGGCACATCTCCCTGCTGGCAGCAGGCTCTCATCACTCTCCACAGCTTCCTGCCCATTGCTCCATGCTGTTCAGAGCCATGCCATCCGTACAGGCACTTCCATGGCCTCTTGTCAACCCTCAGGTTCCCTCATTGCAACTCCCCAGCATTAACACAGGCCATGCAGCTTTCCACAGAAGCAGCATTTACACAGGAACTACAGTCACGTCACTGGACATGCTCTAAAATGCAGCCCAGAGAACTGCTCGCAGTGGGGAGAAGAAGAGAGCAGCAAAAGCAATCTGCCACTTCCCAGGCCACACAAGCTCCATTGCTGACGCTTTGTACTTTGGTGTCATCTTTCCCACCTTAGGAGCTTAAATCACTTTGCAAATATTAAATGGGTCACTCCCCTTCCAGGCACAGTGGTACATGCAATCTGTTCTCACCAGGGAGAAGCTGAGGAAGTGATCACTGGAAGGACTCAAGAAGGAAAGGAACCCAAGAGTCGCAGAATCACAGAAAATTAGGGTAGGAATGGACCTCAGGAAGTCTAGTCCAACCCCCTGCTCAAAGCTCTAGCTCCAACTAGATCATCTCATCCAAGAATTTGTCTAGCTGCATCTTAAAAACCTCCAAGGATGGAGATTCTGCCACCTCTCTGGATAACCTGTTCCAGTGCTTTACTACCCAGATGCCTGGCCTCTTGCTTGAACCACTAACACTCCCCAGTCCGCTTGGAAGAGTATTAACGATACCTTACTCACCTTCCCATCAGGAACACGGCTGTAGCTCTGGAAGCTGTGGGTGCCAGAAGTGGTGAGCCGGGAACTTTCCTGCTTCTCCCCAGGCTTGAAGCTCAGCCAACAGTGCTGCAGACAAAAGCGCGGCCAGAGCAGGACACAGAGAATGGTACCAGTAGCCACAATCAACAGTGTCACGAACGTACGGACCTGAAAGAAGAGGACAAGGGGGGCTAAGGGCTCTGACCCCAGCACAGGGGACAATTGTGCCATGATGACAGGGGCTCTCTCCTCACACTGTCATTACAGTGCAGGTTTTCTAGGGAACACCGCCAAGGACAGCAGGTCCTTGTGTTTCCCTCACAGGTTCCCCCTCTCCCTTCTAGGGCACCCCTCTGTCTTGTAGGATGGAAAAGGGGGGTTCTCACCCATGCAGGATCCCCAGGCTTATTTACCTGGACATAGCATCACTGCAGCCCCTCACTGCAACGTGGATGAGAGGAGAAGGGAAGAGCCAGCTCTGATATGGCTACAGCAGTGACTTCCAGGTAATGTGGCAGGAACCCATGTGGGGTCACGTGTCCCAGCAAGAAACTAGCTCACATAAGTAGAGCCATGAGCCCAGACAGACTGGGAACTGATGAACTAAAGAATAATGGAGGCAGGGGAGAAGCCATATTTTGCAATAGAAGCAGGGGCTTAGGGGGAGATTGACAGGGGTTTTCCACACTTCTGCACTCTTTATAACATGAAAACTCATGTGGGGACTTCTGTCAGGGTGCTTCACCCTGTGTGCTCTGCTCAGAGCACTCTCACAAGGTCACACCATACTTGCTTACCTAGGGAAGGAAAGGCTAAGCTGTGGGGCAGTAAGTGGCCTCCTGAAATCACACAGGGGGTTTGTGGCTGAGAAACCCCCTTCCAAACTGCCTGCACTTGCCACAGGACAAGGCTACTTCCCCTGTAACACCTCCACATGGTATCCCATCCCAGTGACAGGAGGGCAGGGTATACACTGCAGGGAGTCCCTGCCAGGCGAGCACTTCCCTCTCAGAGCAGAGACCTCTGGCTTAGCTTCCTTGCACAACCACGGGCTTCGCTGGCCCTGACTCAGCTCTCGAGAGCCGGCCAGGGGATGGGCAGCACAGCAAAGTCAGCTCAATACGAAACCTTCGCTTACAAGCCAAAATTGGCAAGTGCTGGTGCAGAAGCTGCTTCAGAATGACTCATTTCCTGTCTGGCAACAGCCAGGCAAGCAAACCATGGCTGTCAGGGAGAGGAAGAACAGTACTGAATGAGCAAAGAGCTGTGTGTAGTGCCTGGTCCATGCAAGATGTGACATGTTTGCACTGGGCCAGCACAGTTGTCCCTCCCGCACTGGCAGTCTTAGCACATAGGCAGGCCATGGAGGCTGCCCTGTGGAGCACAGCGCATGCCCAGAGTCACATGGGTCCCACCACTGCCTGTGCTCAAGTGGTCACTCCCCGGGCTGTCTATCGGAGGGTCACAGTGAGGAACCTGCTCTGGACGCTTTGCACTATCAGCCCTGGCGCTAATCACACCCCTCTCCACAAGTCCTTTGCAGATAAAGACGCCAATGCTTGCAGCCCCCTCAGCCCAAGGGAGAGGAAATACTCGCATAAGAGTCAGACATTGCCTCTGCTCCGAAGTACTTGTACTCTAGGCCAGCAGTTCTCAACTTGCTTCACACTTACTCCAGGCGCCCCTCCATAACGTGTCTGCATTTAGCAGCACTCCATTTCCAAAACTATTTTTTTTTAACAGGGCGTAAAAAAATACCATGACTGGAAACACATTTCTTAAACAGCTCAGTGGGTTTTTGACACTCTGGATTCCCATTAAAAGCCTCTGGTTTTACCTTGTGAATCACATGTAGGTGTTTGCACACCTAGTTGTGGTAATATTTCACAGCAGCTGTAAAAGGATCCCAGGGCACCCCACCTGAGAATCACTGCTCTAGGGTGTCAGCCTGCAGCCGCTACTGCCCAAAACAGAACAGCCGCGTGGGAGCAGCAGTCATGGCACCAGCGAGAGCATTCAAGGAGAGGACAAACCCACTACCCTACTCCCAGCCAGCGCAGGAAGCTTTCCTCAGTGTTTTCTGCTTTGAAATGATGTGTGCCCAAGCATCAGGGGGTGTTTGGAAAGCTGCTTCCACTACATACGCTAAATGACTTGGATGTTCCCTTCACCTCTGGTTTGACCACAGCTGCTATCAGCTGAGCGCTTCCAGCTTCAACAGAATAGCAGAGCCTTTGCAGTGGAGGGTAACGCCCAGCTCCGTCATCTTCCAGGGCACAGAACAGCACTGCGGGGTGGAGTGAGCTGGACCCAAGAGGGCTGATGGAGAAGGGCTTTGAATACTTGAGAGCCGGGAAGGTTGCGGTGGATTCCTCTACACGAGTGGTGGACTGTGCAGTTGTAGCGGTGGACTTGCATAAGCAAGCACTAAATGACTGCGCAGTAACGCTGGTTACTGCACAGTACCGTCACTGCACATTTTTTTTTCCAGATGCTACTGCGCTGTAGCAACAAGTTACTGTACAACAGCTCATTACTACTGCTCAGTATTGTCGCCATACAGTTAGTGCCTGGCAATGCTACTGCATGGGAGCAACAAGCTACTGTGCAGTAGCATCTCATATAGATGCACCCACAGAGTGCCAGGACCTCAGGAAGGCAGATTAGAGAAATCAAAATACAGTACAATCTGATTAATTGCATCCTGTTATTTGCATAGTCTTGTTACTTGCATGCTTTCCTGTAAGACTGAAACCATTAATTTACCTGGTCATTTGCATATCATTTTTTCACATATTTCCATTTATCGCACGAGCCAAAAGTAGGAAAAAAGATATTTGATTCACTGAACCTTTGCTGCTGCAAAGATCAAGCAGTGCTGAGTTAACCACCAGTCTAAAAGGAAGGGGGGAAGGATTGATTAAAAACTGGAGAAAAACACTAAATTCTGAAGTGGCTGGATCACAAATTAGCCAAACCAAGACAATGGCAAGGCTGGGATGCTCCCAGTCATCAAGATCAAGACTAGTGCCAGACAGACCAAAATGGTCAGCAATTGCCATAACGGCCATGGCAGAAGCGCTCATGCTGCGGCCCTGTCAGATTTTCAAGAACCTGCAAATTCTGCTAAATACCCGTCATCAACCATCTCAGACAGGACACAAGAAGCAGCAGCAACAGGTATGAGAAAAATGAAAACCCTGCCTGAGAGCCAGCAAGACTACAGACATTGAGGCAGCTCTGTCACAGTGGATTACACTTGTCAAAGCTAGAGATGTTCCCACATCAGGGTCAGTTTTACAAGGAAAAGCAAAAGACTGAGTGCAGCCCCTGACATTGCGCAGCAGCAGAGAGAGGCACTTTCTACGAGCTCTCCCAGACACATCACTGACTTCAAAATCAGACAGCATCAGTGGCTGTAAAAAAGGCAAGGGGCAGACTGACCATGCTGGTATCCTGCAACAGGGCAGGGACAGGAAAATGGGAATTACAAGAGCACAGACACGTGAAAGGAAAGGCAGTTCCCCAGTCACGTACACTACAAATAAAAAAAATTCATGGGTGACTGGGCTCAGAGACTTCAACCATGATGTGAACCAAGCACAGTGCAATCTCTTGTTTCCTAACTACTTGCAGTGCCTATCCAGCCAATGTTGCTGGGAGAGTTAAGAGCATAAAACACTAGTTTTCCTACCCCATCACACCACTGCAGCTATTCAGTCAGGTGACTAAGGAGTCAGTCGGCACCTTACCAAAGCCATGCTGTGCAGATGATTATCTCAGGCACCAGCTCAAACACGTCTGCTAACAAAGCCATGAAAACTAACACTTTTGGACCCATTACGTAGGATCAACAAAACCTGGAAAAATGTGAAACCAAATACTGGCACTAACCTGCTTCCACTGGGCAGGTATCATTCTACAGCCAAGTAACAGTGGAAGAGCTTACCCAATATAGTTCAGCATATATGCGAAGACTTGCTCTAGTATGAGGCACCAGATGTTGAAAGCAGCATGAAGCCAACTTTCAGGAGGGCCTACAGAGGCCCCACAGGATGCTGCTAAAGATGCTGATACCCGAGTCCCCATCTTAGCAACTGACCCACACAATGCTCAGAACACATTTGGCTGATTTATGGAAGAGACTCTCCATGAGGACTCAGGCTGCTGTTTTTTTTCAAATAGAAGAGCTGCTCACAAACAAACTGAGACAATGGATTTTGTCTTGAAAGACTGCCTGCTTTTTCCGAACTGCCCTAAGTGCCTTGTTGTGACTCTTTGCTGGATTTGCTGCCGTTTGCGCTATTTGTTTTTCTGGGTTCTTTGACCTGGCATGCTGTCTCCAAGCTGCATTACTGCGCTGGCTATATTTGTTACTGTTTGCACTACTGCAAATAAAGCAATGCTGAGGTTATTTTTAGGGATGCGCCAGATGTTTGTGGTAAGGCAGGTCTCTGTTTCTGTGGGGGGGGTTTTGTCCTGTTCCGTATATTAGCAGAGTCTGCTCCTTTGCATTGTTTTCATGGGAAGAAAGGAAGCCAGGATTGACCGCACGCTGTGTGCTACAGCAGCACTAAGTGAAGCCCCACTGTGCCAGACCCCACATGAACCCTCATGCAAAAGACATCTCCAGCCCACTGAGCTTACAGGGCAACACAACAGGGGACCAAACAAATGGGGAGACAGAAAGCGTGGAAAACAGAGTAACAAGACAGCAGGGAGAGTCTGGCTCAATGAGCACTTGCTGCAGTCCTTGAAGACACGAGTTTGAAAGAGGAATGTGAAGGCAGGAAGGAAGATGCCCACTTGGATTTGCAGGAGGTTACTCAACTCCTGCAGGCCCTGCACTACCCCTTCCATGTTAAACTTTTCAAAGATGGCTTTGCTCAATAAGCTACTATGCCAAGGGAGCAGGACTACCTGCTCTGCAAACACATCTCCAAATACTGCATAACGCTCAAGCAATCAATAGTGGGCAAGTCCTGGATGCAAGTGCCTGCCACTCTCACTCGTCGGGGAATGGGAAGCTTTGCCTTTGAAATGGCAGATCCTGTGACATGGCCTGCAGACACCTAGTCATTAAAGTCACATAGGGAGAAACAAGATCTGGCTGCTTTTGTGACCTCTGTGTTCTGAACCAGCATCTTCCCTCAGCTTTCCCTGCCAGCCTGGTCTATTGTAGCCCATTCCTGAGACAGAGAGACTGCTCCGTCCCATGCGGGAGAAGAGAAGGGGCACGCCTGCTTGCTAATGGCCTTCTCAGCCCCTTGTCTCCCCATAGCCTCCCTGGTCTTCGCAGTTCCTTCCCAGGGAGGGTCAGCAGTCCTAATGCCACCCCGGTACGTGGACATGACATGCCTTTCCAACAATGCTTTTGAGAGGGTGGCCATCACAGAGGATGTTCTGGTTTTCTGCTACTCTGTGCTCTATTGATATGAAACCTGATGCCTTTATGTCCTAAAATAGAGGACATAAAGGAGTTGGGTTTTGTATCAATAGAGGGCAGAGGACAACCGGATTCTCCTCTGTGACGGCCACCCTAGCTCTCGATAAGTTTTGATCAACTGCAACAAAACACCAGCCACTCCCGGCCCCCACCCACAACAGGATGTCAAGAGTGGTTCCTTAGCTCAAGGATCTTAGACCATTTTGCCACGTGTTACAGGCTACAGTCCCAAGGTCTAGGACTGTCACCAGGTCAAGGGGTCTGGCTTCTTACCAACACCGTCATTCTTCAGCTTCTGACTCGTCACAGGTCCATCTCGGGATTCAAGGACCGCACCCGGCAAAGCTCGAACGGGTTAGCCACCCGGCTGCAAACCAGACACGGGGCAGAGGAAACAAGAAGCACCAGGGCACTTTGTTACCCCCCTCATCCTCTGGGCAGTCAGCCCCGGGAGGTGCGTCGAGGGTTACCGACAGGATGGCTCTGCCCGCTGAGATTGCCCCGCTCAGGCCCAGATCCCATTAAAACGACGACTCCTTTTCACAGCCCCCGGACTCGCTCCACATTACCCCTCGCTCTCGTCCCTGCCCCAGCCTCAAACCTCCACGGAGCTCATCGCCAGCGGCGCCGCGGCCTTCCCCTCTGCCCGCGCGCCCTCACCGCACACCTCACCCCACGCTCGCCAGGCCAGGCCTCCCCACACCCGGGGGCCAAGACGCAGCCACCTCCGGCGTGGAGCCGGGCAGCGGGTGGACGGGGCACGGAGCTGGCAGCTGAGGCCAGGCGGCTTCCTGGGCAGCAAGGGAGCAGGGCTGGGCACGGCGTGCACCCCCTGCCCCAGCACCCCCATCCTGCGACTCACCCCCTCCGGCCCCGGCCCC